TTAAAGCTTCCTTATAATAGTATTATATAGTGTTTCTACAGTACTATCTGTTACATGGCCAATTTTAAGTAATTATCACTCCTGTCTTGTGAAAAACTATCCGTTATATAATATAGTAGTCTCGAAACTATATTTATATACGAAAACTATTCAATAAATTTATGAATTGTATAAAAAATTTTCTCCTCGCAGTCATTACCGTTTGGAAAGACAAAATTTGAACCCTTTATTATGACCTCAGTAGAAATGTCCAATGAAGTTTTGTACAGATTTACTACTGTTTGGCAACGGCTTTTCCTTCACTTCATTAGATATGGGTCGTTTCCTTGAGCTAATTTTTATACCCAAATATCTTAATTTCTGATTATGTATTTTACTAACCTGTTTAAAAACTTTTTAATGTAACCTATTCACTATACTTTGGATTTTAAGGAAGTATCTAGACTAAGGGCTACGGGAAGATTTTGCCTAAGTCTAGTTTTAGTTCTAATTGAGGAGTGTAGCTTTGCAATGTTTTCATTAAGTCTAATATAAAGGAAATGGAAAGTCATGTCACAATATTTCACTTGTGAATTTTTCAAAACCTAGTTTTTCTTCATATAGACTTTGATAGCTTGCTCTGCGTACATGGGTTGAATTCCACAGAGGAGTTACGGAGAAAATGTCTAATATCTGCAAGCATGTGAAAGGCCGAGGCGCTCTGCTCGGTGTTCAGCTATTCCGGCAAAACGAGAGACAATAGAAACAAGTAATTTCCCCAGACTGCGCAACCAAGTCGCAAAGACGAGGTCAAACACTTTCTGAAACCCCCACATTTTCCAGTAGAGATATATGAATTCAGATTCATAAGCAAAAGATAAACTATTGTTATTTTAAAGGCTGACAAAGTATCTCAGTTGTCTGGCAAGATTATTAGGAGGCCTAATATCCGATTGATCATATAATTGGGGAAAAATTTTAATATTCTTTATCCAAAGAAAGCCAATTGAATTTTAGTTAGGGTCATTTTGATTAGAAGGTAACGTAGTAATACATCTGTATACAGAATCCTATTGGGGGTGCTCAGAACAAGATGAGATATGAACTTCATTCCCCTATATCAAAATTGTCTCTTTTAATGCATCGGTATGATAAATTCCATGCAAAATGCAAGTATTATCTCTCAATTTATGGTAGATAGTTGCTATTACTCCAATATAAAAACAAGTCGGACCTAGTACAATTGCAAAATATAATTTTGAATGAAAAGGAGGTCTATGGAAATAATTGTTAAGCAACTTCAAATTCCCTAAAGTTGCTATTTTAAATTTAGGTTTAGATGTGTTCAAATAAAATGTATACTATTTCACCGTTAATTAAATGAGTATTAGGCTAAATTCTCCTAATATTGCATTTCTCCTTCACGATTAAACAAGACTAAAAAGCGTCAAAATCAAGCTTTGGGATACACTGCATTTGAATTTGCGAGATATTTTATATGGAAATAAAAAAGCTTCACACAATAAAGGGTCAAATGTCAAATGGCTGACGACTTACCTCTTGAGTCAGAGCACTTTTTGATGGTCCCTTACAGGCCCATGTGTTTACTGCATCATCGTTAGCAATAAAAGGCTGTTTTAATCCAGGACAGAGAGCATCTTCTCTAGAAAGCTCGACCGAACAAAGCCCCACGTTAAAGTGTGTCAAGTCATCATTTGGTTTAGAGGAAGCAAAGTTTTCCAAGCCTTTGGGTTTGCCAAAGGTAGAATTTACGGCACCGTAACCTGAGGCTAATACTGCATCGAATTTGGCTTGAGTTTGGGCCAAACACATTGTTTCTGTCAGGCCAGTGTTTTCAGAAATTTTGGCAGGGTAAGGAGACTGAGTGCAGGTGGTATCTATTGGGACGATCTTGGCAGCCATCGGCGTTTCTTGTTCGCGCGAACAAATTGGAGATCTCCTAGCATCAATCGGGCTATCTTTGAGAACGATGGCTGTGGCATCACATGCACGACACAATTGTCCATTGTCAGACTCAGAATAAGCCTGTTCTTGTGCAATGACCTGCAATGTGTGACTTGTCGAAGGAATTTGTCGAAGAGGCTTAATTGTTAATTCAGGATTAAGTGCAGAATTAGCCTGTCTAGAGGTAAGATGACAGACAAGGCGTTGGAGTATGGCAAGTCTATCTGTATCGAAGTCGAGGCATGACATTTTAGGCTTAAGGATAGGAGCTATCGGATGCAGAGAAGCGCGCGAATCAAAATTGGAATGAGCTAATTGATCCAAAGTGACTACCTTAAAGCAAAAAAAAGAACTGGATAAGCAAAATTGCATAAAAATGAATAAAAATAATGAATATAATAGGTGATAATTTTCTGGGGTGGCAGGGAGTGGGTATAGTATACAGTGATGATTCTTGAAAGCTTACAAAATTATATAAGCTACATTTCGGGGAATTACTCTGAATGATAACAAAATTTAAGACGATACATTCAATGCATTTTGCAACTCAGCCGGAATACAAAGAAAATTGTAAATCAGCCATCTGATTAGACTTTCTTGAATTGTTGCAAACATTATGCTATTACTCCCGGGTTCTTTAACCTAATAAGAAAGTGCCATTTGAACACAATTAATGAAGTACATTATCATGCATGCATCCAGAAATTAAAGAAGAGTTACGAGAATGAGAATGGAATACCTTTCATTTCGTTTAAAGAGGCGATAGGAAGGGATTCGTAAGTTGGTTCCGCCTAAGGCTGTAGGGAGGTAACCTAGAAGCTGTAATTGTAGATTTGTGCGAATAGGTCATCGGCGCACCTCCCTGCTACCCCGATGAATCTTTGCTGAACTTTCGTCCATCATGTGGCAGACATAATCAGATCAGGACACCATACTTAACGATAATTCACCAAAAACACAAAGGCAAGAAAGGTAGCCGGCTTCAAACCTACTTCCTTCTTATATTCCAATTTGCTCCACTTTTGCATCACATGTTTTTGATTAGATGCCATATGCTTTGCCTCTATATTTGCTCATAACTTATGTTAAGTGGCTGCGTATAGCATGTGAAGTGGCTACGGATGAATCATGAAATGGGTGCAATTGAAGCCGAACAGCTGCATTCTCCCTTAAACCGCTTATGCCTTTGATCCTGCAATGTTACCGCATATGATTGCGTCTCATTGCACACGTTGTATGAGTGCATTGCTCTTAAAATGAGTGTGATGTGAGAGTTAAAACCAAATTCCAGCCTAATCAGGCCTCCTCCTCTTCCTCGGTGGTACTTCTCGTTCGCCCCCCCTCTCCCTCTCTATCTAAATCTATCCAACAACAACAAGTAGTTCACACTTAACTTTCTACACTCATTCCTTCTATTGAGGGGGTTAGCAGGATTAAAGGCACAAGTATTTTAGGGGAGAATGTAGCTGATTGGTTTGAATTGCACCCATTTCACGCTTCATATGTAGCCACGTCACATGTCATCTGCAGCCACTTAAAGTAACTTATGAGCAAATATAGAGGCAAAGCATACGACATCCAATCAAAACATGAGATCCATAAGTGGACCAAATTGGAATATAAGGAAAGTAGGTTTGAAGCTGGCCACCTTTCTTGCCTTCGTCTTTTTTCATGAATTATCATTGACCATGGTGTCCTGCTCTGACGATGTCCGTCACATTACGGACGAAAGCTCAGCAAGGATTCATAGGGGTAGCAGGGCGGTGCCTCAAAGACCTATTCGCACAATTCTATAACCACAGCTCCAAGGCAACCCCCACAGCTTTCGGTGGAACTAACATACGAATCCTTTCCACCCGCCTCTTCAAACGAAATGAAAGCTACTCCAAGATCCCGAATTCTATGGCAGAGGACACGGGACTAGGTACGTTCCACAATGTCACCCTAAAAGCAAGGTCGAAGCAGCACTACAAACCTAAAGGAAACTGCAACCAAGCAGAAGGCCACACTATCTTGATCTTCATATCTAAGATAAATTAGTATTGTTTCCTATTCTGTATGTAATGAATGAGAGTAATTATACGAACCGCTCTCCAAGCTAAAATATAAGTCAAACGATAATCAAAAAGACAAACAAATGAAGACCCAATACTTTAGGAACACATTCACAGGTTCCATAGGGGGATAAATTTCAACCAGCAATCAGCATCCCCAGCGGGACTCAAAGCCGAGTATTGCATCGTATAGTCTCGACAAGTTAACCACTACGCCCCATTCTCACGAATGCACTAGGATCACAGGAAAGGCGTGAATTTCAAAGTTCAGGGACTTCCCACGTTGCATTTTTTTAGTAAGATTGTCGATAAAGGACCTTAAATGAGAAAGGGTAAATACATCTCAAATATAAGATTTATTGGTAGTCTCGAAAAACTAATTATAAACGAAAAATAATGTAGTCGAATGTAATAACAAATAAAACTTTGCATAAATGATAAACTTACTACAAAAATCTGATGTAGGAAAGGCCTTTATTATAGTTTATGTCTGCCCTGATCCAAGGGAACTTGTGACATGACGTAGTAATTAGCGTTACGAAAATATACGCTGAATTAATCAATGTAAAATCATGTTAGTGAGACCTAGAAGTCCAATCTACATAAGAACTGGTCCATGGGACAGAATCCTATGGAGGTGTCTAGGCATGAGAATAGCCTGTTTTAAATCCTCTAATCTGTAGTAAACGGGGGCCGGAATTAAAGGCTCATATAGGTGTCGGATTTAAGACAACCAGTGATTTTAATGTGTATCAACGACCAAGTGAAAAAAAGTAGCGGAAGAACGGTTCGATGAAAATCAGAAGCTATGACTCTGAAGCCCAACAAATGGCATCTAATACCGGTGAAGGCGATAAGCTTTACTAAATAAATTTGAAACGATATGCTCTTAGGCGAAATTAGAGGAAACAAGAATACAGAATGAAACGAATTGGTAAATGGTTCATATAAAGTGGGATTGAAAGACACGCAGCAGTAAAAGATAGGACAAAAAGGGGAAGTGATGCCACTACAGCCAAGAAGTAAATTGGTCAAGAGGATGACCTTCACTTATAAGTTTGATCAATTGTAGCTGCGTGCTAAGAATGGCCCCTCTCACTAACTGACTAAGATGACAAGGAATGTCTGGGAATGTACCAAGTCAACGATATGTTAATATCATCAATATTACTGCAAATGACGCAGAACTAGGCAAATTACATAAGGGCTCTTTGTCGCACCGAATGTTTCGAAAAAGAGGTCAAACCAATAGTTTAATCTGCTTTAGAAATCAATATTTTGTTAATTTTCTGAGCTGAGATCTAGATGAGGCTGAAACTGCCGTCCACCCTGGATTAGAGGTTGAGTAAAATCAAACGGAAAAATGAGACATACTCAAAGTATTCATGGAAAATTCCACTACTACTATTTCATCACCTTAAACGAAGTAGGGTTAACAAAGCTTTTGTATAGTAAACTAGGGACTGGAGTTTAGAAGCATCCAATTTTATATATGATGATAATGCAAGAGAAGTTAATTTGCTACAAACCAGATCCTCTTGTGGAACTTTGGAAAGTTGATCTTTTGTAGTTCGGAGATCTAGCTTATCATTTTTTTGTGAGTGATCACAAGTTTGGCGAGAAATTTCGTCTTCAAGACCTAGCCCGGATGGCATATCTTGTGGAGATGTAGGTGTGGCTGGGCCGTCGTCAAGGCTAAGAAAGCGATAATTTAAAGTGGTCGTCTCGTTAAGCCTATCAGCATCAAAGGCAATCGTTTGGTTGTTTAAGTCGGGATGAGGCCATGGAGCTGCTTCTTTGGGATCAAGATAATCAACATGCCGGACCTGAGAGGACGATGCCAGGTCAGCTTGATAAGAAACTGGATCCTTGGTCATAATTGATGAAACAGCTTCGGGTTCACGAAAGAGAGACTCGGTGGGAAGGCGATCCATATCAAGCAAGAAAGCTTGATGAAGCTGTGTAATACGGTTGTCGATAAATGCAGCCTCTTCGCTAGGTTTTTGAAAAAAATTAAGGACGAAATCATATGAATATGAAAAATAATTGTGATAGATAGGTATGGCAGCGATGTTAAAGTCTATATTGGTTTAATGAGTTGTATTAGCTTAGTTTAGTCAAAATAGGAAATGATGACTAAGGAAGAAGCCAGATAAATGAAAGCAGATAATAGACAAACAAGATATGGTGGCCTCTATTTTGGTCGTAGTCTCCTTTCGATGTATATAAGTAGTGGCCTCGTGCAATTTGGCCGTGTTGTGAGACCTAGTTGGACTCACCTTGTCCGAAGTTCTCTGCTATAGTAATCATAATTCCCAGTGTCGGACCGTGGACTTGGTACATTCCAAAACATTTCGCTAGCATCGCCAGTGAGTCTTGCCAATCTCAGCACGGAGCTACAAATTATCAGACAAGTGAAATCAATTCCTTGACCAGCCTTCCGTCCTGACCCATCTATCCACTCCATACACTCTTATCTCGCTCCCGTCCTATCAAACTTTCTGACTTGTTGAAATTCCAATCGTCAAAAGGTATGCCTTTTTTCAAATCTAATGTGTGGCATCATCATATCTGCCCCCATTCCGAATTGGGCCTCCTACCCAGATCCCCATCATGAACCCAAATATCCGTTTCTCCTCTTTCCTGCTGATTCATTTCAATCGGTCCCAGTGCCAGTCTACGTTGTACTCAAGGAGCTATTTGCAAAGTCTTCCGTAACAAATAGACCGCGCCTCACCAAGCAAGGGGCCTAGGCCCTGATTCTCATGCTCGCAGATATCAAGCATTATCTTCATGAATTCAATCCGTTTACCTTGAGCGAATTGTGGGCAGCTATCTTTGGTCGTCTGATGCATCTCTAATGGATTTTTAGTCAATTTATTTATAATGCCTCATTTTTTGTGACGATTGTGTTTATTCATCCACCTAGTCATGTAACTGCCAGGAACTCAAAGTTGTCGTTGTTTATTCAAGCAGACCATGCTTGGTAAAAACGAATTCTCTTCATTTCAAATTTTTTTTTATCCAGTCCTTCCTTGCTATACTTCTTACTTTAATTGACGATAGGCTCTTAATCCAGACATCTCCTTTTTGCTGGTATTGCTGGATCCTTGTTTTCTCAGAGTTTGTTTAAGCAATAGCCAAAGTTATCGCTAACTCCTTCCAATCTCCTGTTCACTAATTTTTCCCCCAAGGATTTAAAATGCATAACTAATATTCCGTATCCTGTATGAGGCCCTTCTTTCAGTTGCTGTTCGATTGATCTCGTGTTCAGTCTGTGTGATGCTATTCACTATTTCCGATCTTTTGGTATCCACTTTCTAGCAAAGTCTTTGAGATTCATTTAATAGTATGCTGAGTTTTCTGCCTCTTTCGCCAACATATTTATGTTCGTAGACGCCTCATGCTATGCAACAAAGTCAAGAGCAATCCAATTTTGTTCACCCTTGCATAGTGCATGGATAGACTTGTGAAGTGTTGTTTTTTCCTTCGTTATCAACTGTATTTTCAATTTTATTAGTATTGGAGGTCGTCTGAGTTAGTTCGCATTAAGGTAGGCATATCCATTTTCGTGAGCCTTTCTCCATCCTTACCTTCTTTCATAACTCACGTTCTGCAATAGGCTTTTATGGCACCTATATATCGTTGTATTACTTCTCTCGGGTATCCGTTGCCGAGGGGTATCTGAGTCAGCTTTTCCTATTCTTCATTCCAGAATTCCACATCCATTAAGCATAAGCTTTTGATGGTCAAGCTCCTTATTTTTCTATCTTCAATCTGTAGTTGTGATGAGAGTAGAGATTGAATACTATTCCGGCCTATGACATTTTTCTGAACAATTTCCTCTTGATTTTACCATTAGACCGAATGTCTTCAACATCCAGGAAGTGATCATTCCTCTTCCCATACTTCCATTATGAATTTGATTCTTTCAGAAATTTGGTTTATAAAGTTAAATAAAAAGTCCAATTTTCTTATACATGCGACCGTACTGCGAAGTAGTAGCCGGGTACCGCATGAATACATCTGATTGCTGCAGTGGCATTTTCAAATCCTCTTTTAATTTGTTCATTTATACGTTTACTAAGAGGTGAGAGCGGCGATCCCATAGTAAGTCCTAATATTTGTTCATAGATGTTACCGTTGGATATGAAATAGGTAGTCCTTATCGTCAAATTGATTAGGCATTTTAACGACTTCCTCCTGATCCTTTCCGCTCCTAGGACATCAAGCAGGTCCGTTGGCGCCTTACCTCAAAATATTTTGTATGCATGGATTGTACACCAAAACTTACCAATAATTCTGTTTGTTCCAGTGCCATGTAATAGATCATTTGAGAAAATTTATATCAATATATCACTGTGTTTAATAACCTGTTGCTTAACTTGATAAGTTTCAAACATGAAACTAGCCTATTTGTGTGTGCTCCACACTTGCTGGCTACCAGCCTTAGTAATTCGCCTTGATTGTGTATTTTTGGAAATCCGTTGGCTGTTGATGGTCGTCCATCCTTTTTTATTATTGAATTTATCATCTATCAATCAATCTCGTCGTTCCTAGGCATATTTTCAGCAAGCTTCGTAAT